ATATAAACTAAGATTTTATTGTATTTTCTAACCATTAATCTGTCTAATGGTTAAAGTTGGTTCATCCCGATATAGTGGATCTTAGCTTTAAGGTCAAACCTAGCCATTGTAGAATCAAAACATATTTTTTTTATATTCCTTTTCTTTTTAGAGTTCAACATCATAACAAGATCTTAATGTACGGTTATAATATACCGAACTACTCGTGTATCAAATGATTAATTCAACCTAAAAGCTAAAGCTATTAGGTGAGTTCTAAAGATATAATTTATATTATTTTCTAACACATTCATTTGAAGGAATGTGTCAAAAAATAATATAAATTATATCTTAAGAACTCACCTAATAGCTTTAGCTTTTAGGTTGAATTAATCATTTGATACACGAGTAGTTCGGTATATTATAACCGTACATTAAGATCTTGTTATGATGTTGAACTCTAAAAAGAAAAGGAATAAAAGTAAAAGATAAAAAAAATATTTTACAAAAACATTTATTCAAATTCAAGGATAGGATTTAACTAACTGCATTAGATATTATTATGTTAATGAAAGTTGAGAGGATCCAGCTGACAACAACAGTGAAGTCGAGAATGTGTGCGTGACAGTGTGAGTCTCACGCACCCTAGAGAATTCTTCCATCAAAGAGTCTTCTCCACAGAATTTAATATAAAGGGTGTAATAAAAGAGATTGTGGTGAACAAGTGGAGCAACATGCAATGACTGATCATGTAAAGGACTAAAGTCATTGGTCTAGCTTTGAAAAACTGAAGTAGTCGCAATCCATAATCTCAAAAGAAAATTTTCCAACAGAGCCCACTAGCTACTTCTTGTTCTTATAAATGTAGGATGGCCGGCGAGGGATATGCTCTCCAAAGCTGTTCGTTCTCAAGCAGTTCTCTCTAAAATAATTTTAGAAGAAAAGAAAACCACTTCGAAAGGTTTTGTTTTAATCCTTGAGTTGAGCTCTCTTAGCTAGTTAATTATCACCCCGATCCTTAGTTCAGGTAAAGTCGCCACCTTCCACAATTTTAAGACATGGAGATTGATCAGCCAACAATTCAACAGAAAGCCGGGCATTTTACACGTGCATGGAGCTGGTTCAAGGCCTTGCCTGGTGAGGCCAAGGCCAAGGCTATAGAATTAGCAAAAGGTACCAAAAAACTTGGAGAAGATGACCCAAGAAGAGTCATTCACTCACTAAAAGTGGGATTAGCTCTCACATTCGTGTCCTCCTTCTATTATTCTAGACCTCTCTATGATGGTTTTGGGGTGTCAGGGATGTGGGCTGTGTTAACTGTGGCTGTAATCTTTGAGTTTACAGTAGGTACGTGATTAGTTATACTTCAAGGAATTGGCTAGCTGTTTTACTATTTAATTAACTTCAGTAAAATCTACATGTCAACCAGATTGAAATAGTGACGCAATATTTGATAATGCATGTATTGTTTGTTATGCAGGTGGAACATTGAGCAAGGGTTTGTTTAGAGGCTTGGCAACATTACTTGCCTGTGCGCTAGGGTTCGGAGCATCGAACTTGGCCAGTCTTTTTGGAAGGAAAGGACAGCCCTTTGTCCTTCGAATCCTTGTCTTCGTATTAGGTATGCTTATATGGAATTTAATGTAAAAAATATTTAGGATGTATATAGATAAATAGTTTGTTTAGACATGTGAAAATATTATTTTTAAAATATTTATTTATTTTATATAAAAATAACACCTTCAAAATACAACTAAGTACTCTAAATCTTTAAAAAAATAAAAAAACAAGATCAAGAAAACATTTTTTTTATTGTGTTTCATTTTCTGTGTAGTAACAGGTTTATAGAATTGAATAAATGTTATTTAGTTTTATCTCAATAGTCACACTAACATATTAAGTTTTAAGTTCTAAATGTCATCTTTTGATATTATAAATATCAATATAATAGCATTAGAAAGCTCATTAAAAGAATCCTTCTAATATGATGTACATATTAAATTTTAAGTTCTAAATGTCATCTTTTGATATTATAAATATCAATATAATAGCATTAGAAAGCTCATTAAAAGAATCCTTCTAATATGATGTAATTTATTACATAATAGAAATTCACACTTGTAAACATTAGAAGGGAGTGTTTCTTTTAAATATAGGATATACATATTTTATTTCTTTACTTATTTACAAACTATACCAATAGTTGAAGCAATATATTTGTGATTTGCTGATTGTTATTTCTTATATAGGAAGTAATTTGAATTTGTACATGAATTTAGGTCTATATAATATATGATTGAGTTTTAAAAAACAAACTGATCAATTGAAAAATCATAAAAAAAAAAGATAAATAAATCAAACAAAAAAATTCAAGCTAACCAATTTAAAAACAAGAAAAATTATTTGATTTGGTTCGATTTTAATTTTAAAAGAATAAAACCAAATGAATCAATTCAATCAAAATTGAACCAACTAAGAAAATATAAATAAAAATTTTTCACCTCATACTAAATTACTACATAAACATCAAACGCTAACCACTATATGGTCAATGACACTTCCAACCGTTATCATCACCAAAGTAGCCGCCATCACCAACAACACCAATGCTTGAAGCTATGGCATAGTAAAGATTCTAAAGTTTTGTGTTCTAAGAAGGATGAGATGTAATATTTCTTGTCACATTCATCGATACCCTGAATTGGACTTTTTTTTCCTTCTTGATTATCTTATAATACATGAAGATGATGTAATGATTGGGATAATCTAAATATTTTTTATGTTTTAGATGCAGTTTAGAACTAGATGAGGATGGCTATTTGTTTATAGTTGGGACATATCATAGTTATGGGTATCATTGTGTTCATGACTTTAGAGGACTTTTTTCTTGTGTTTTTTTCAAAGAGAATGAGATGTGGTTAGGAATAGAGTCTGAACCTTGCTTTCTTTTTTTTTTTGTTAATAGTCGAAATTTTATTAAGAAAAAAGGCTACAAAGATAATAGCCTAACTTACATAAGATGAACAAGTAAAGAAAGAAAGTACAAAAACTGTTGCATGAAACAGGGGAGAGCAACAAATGAGGGAACAAACAAATCATAAGAAACCAACTTCTCTCGGCTAAACATTCTCTATATTAAGCTCTAAAGAGTTGGAATCAAGCCTCAACCATAAAGCAATACTTTGACTCACCATGGAGAAACAAATTTGAAAGTTAGGGGCAGCATCATTAAAAATAACATCATTTCAGTGAAGCCAAAGATTCCAAACAACGCATGAGAAAAGAAGCTGCCATGAGAGATTCTGCTGCTTGCCTTTAACCATTGAAGACCATTGGTAGCACATATCATCAATAGATTTTGGAAAAACACTGCAAAAGCCCCGATTAGAAAGCAGTTTCATCATATATTCCAAGTGAAGTGGCAATGAATGAAGAGGTGACTCGAAGATTCCAAGCTTTTATTGCAGAAAGCGCATCTTGACTCCTGAAGAGTGAGGTAGTCATGCTGAAATAGAAAATCTCTTGTGGTTACTTTGTCTTGGACAAGGAGCCAAAGGAAAAGTTGCACTTTTGGTGG